TAGGTGCACCATAATACTTGCTGAAAAATAGGATGAATACATGAATGCAATTAGTTGCATTAGGGAGCTGAAGATGTAGCAGCAGAGAACTGATCTGCTCCTTAAAGTCAATCTAAAGCAAGTTTACTCATGTCCTCCCTGGATTTTCATAATTACCTAACACTCTATGTGTGAACTGATTTGTCTGATTCCAAAAGACTGCCTCTGATCTTCAGGCTATTTATGAGCTCTGCAACCCAGGGGGGCCCGTCTGCACACAGCTACACGCTGCAGACATGGAAAAGGTAGCAGGAATCTGACCAGGGAAACTCCTTGCAGGTCTTTAATGGGGGCAGGGAACTGTGCACATCTGAGAGGGTCAGTGCTCAGTCCTTCTAAGGATGCTTTTTGACAAATGTAATCACCATGTTTACTGAACACTTGTTTAAACAGCCTCTCTGGTTCAAGCAATCTATGTTGAAAAGGCCATCCTCTGGCCAAAATGAGTGAATATTATCAAATAAGGAGGGTCAGGGGAACTCATAAATCCCTGTTCAGTTCCAAGTCTTTTTTTTTTTTTTAAAGATTTTATTTATTTTATTTTTAGAGAGGTGAAGACAGGGAGAGAAACAGCAACGTGTGGTTGTATTTCACACACCTCATGCTGGGGACCTGGCCTGTAACCCAGGTATGGGCCCTACCCCGGGAATCGAACCACCGACCCTTTGGTTAACAGGCTGGCACTCAGTCCACTGAGCCACACCAGCTAGTGCAGTTCCCAGCTCTTTCAGCAAGTATTCTCTGAAAGCCCCGCCTGACAAGTTCTTTCCCTTCTCGATAAAATCTATTTTCATTATTAATCATTTGGCCTTCCTCTTTCCCTCCTCTATCGTTCCTCTTTCTGCCTTCTCTTCCTCCGTTCTTTCCCATTCATTCTACTTTTCACTCTTTTCTTCTTTCCCTCCCTCCTTCCTTCAAGTGGCAGTGAAAAGAACACAGTCTTTCTGAGTCTAAATTAGATTCAAATCCTTACTATCTCTGATGCTTATTTGTGGTGTGATGTTCAGCAACTTTCATTTCATCTTCAGTAGCATTTCTTCTTTGGCACGAGGCATTACCAATGTCTGTTTTGGATGGCTTTGGTAATGTTTCTCAAACTTCAGCGGGCATGAGAGTCACCTAGGGAGACAGGTGAAAAATGCAGATTCTCAAGACCATACCCACAGACTCTAATCTGTTAGGTCAAAGTCCCAGGTATCTGCATTTTAAAAGGTTCTGCAACCAGAAATATCACTATTTGTGCTGCCTATCACTACCAGAGCCAGTAAGTAGTGATAAGGATTGAATCTTTATGGGCTCTTTATACAGATGCTGGTGATCTGAGAAGATGGCAGGTTATATACCCTCAAAACCGTCTTAATATTTTATTTCAAACAGACCTTTTTTATAGGGGGAAGGAAACTGTAGGTAAGGGGTTTGAAAAAAGGTTAATCAGGTAAGAGTTGCGGTCCAGTGGCAATTTTCCTAGTATTTCTTAATCTGCTGACCAGCAATTCTTTATCTGAGTCCTGACATTCCCTCCCCAGAACACAATGACTAAGGTACCTTCTCAAGATCACTTGCAGACCCCCTGGGGCACAGAGGGGTTGAATTCAACAGAGGTTGAATTGCATGTTGACCTCCTGGAGTTGTGTATGTCATGCATTCCAGTTCTTTGAATAAGAGCTTTCCACATGCGTTAATCACTTAAACCGATCAACTATGACTGAAGCTAAAGTCTTTAGCTGTTGAGTTCCCCATCAGTTCCAGACTTCAAGGGTCTTACTTTGAGAAACACTCCATATGCATGTAAATGCTTAGTAGAATGAGAATTGTTATAATTATTCAAAAGTTGGGAGCCATGATTATTTATTCATTCAGTGAACATTTATTGAACATCTGCTATGTACCAGGCATGATACCAGGCTCTATAGTTACGCCCCACATACCATATTTTGCCATATATAGTGCACACTTTTTTGCTCAAATTTCTGAGGGAAAAATAAGGTTGCTCATTTTAAATGGGTAGTACTAATTCCCATGTGTAGTACTAATGCAAATTATACATGGGAATTAGTACTAAAACGTGGATGTGCATTATACAGGGCAAAATACGGTCATCTCTTCTACTGTGAATTAATTTGTCTTATTTGTATGCCTTATCCCATCTCACTACTTGTACGTTCCTAAAGGGCAGGATAAAGCAGCTGTAATGTGGCAGAGAAGAACATAAATGTTAGAAGACATGAATTCTATTTACTATTTATATGACTTTAGACAAGTCATTTTATCTTTCAGAACTTTATTTTCTTCACCAAGAGTTGGAAAGTCAAGTGTAGCGGTTAAAAGTCTAAGAGTTTGGAGTCCTGACTCTAATGCTTTCTAAGTGTGTGATCTCAGGAAAGTAACTTGACTTCTTTGAGCCTCAGCTTCCTTTTACTGAGAAAGGAGATTCATTTGTGTAACATTCATTCTTCAATAAATATTTATTGAGCACTTTCTATGTGACCAACACTGTGCTAGGTACTAAGAATATGTTGGAGAGTGAGACAGATATGGTCCCTGACTCATGTAGCTTACAATTTAATAGTGGACACAAATATTAAATAGGTAATTACACAAATAACCAATTCCACTGTGAGAAATTCTGTTGTGATAAATTTAACTGGTAGGAGCTAACCAAGCCTGGGGGAATCAGGGAAGGCCTCCTGGTATAGGGGATATTGAGCTCTGAAGGAAGAGAGGGCATTACTCAGAGAAGAAGGACCTGAGATGGGAAGAAGCTGAGATGGGACTCTTTTGAAGAACTAATGGGACACCTAAGTGCTTAAAACCGAGTGCACAAGGTCCCCCTCACACATCACAGATGTTGAGAGGACTGAGATAATAAAGTGCTTAGCACAGTGCCCAGCACAGAGAAACATAATAACCATGGACATGATACATCTTGTTTGTTGTAGACAAAGCATGAAGAAGTACTGTGTAATAACCAAAGGTTCTCAAATTATCATTCATCAGGATCACCTGGAAGGCTTTTTAACCCAAAGATTTCTGGGTCCCACCTCCAGTTTCTGATTCAGTAAATCTGGCTTGAGGTAGATAATCAGCAATTTTAATCTATCAAATTGCCAGGTTATGGGGGGAGGGGGTGGAGCATGGAGGGTTTGGGATTTAAAACAACCAGTGTAAATTGTGAGGTCCTAAATGCCTGTCAATCAAAGTTGAATCTCCCACAATGCTCTAGACTTTGTACAGAACCACCTCTCCATAATCATTTGATAACAATGTGTTCTTTGTATTTTCAGGGTGAGAAAAGGCCACACCCTTTCATTTATACAGAAGTGGAAGTCAAGGACTAGAGAAGATGAGGATGCCACCTAAGAAATGGGAGCAGCCTGAACACAAGAGCTTTTCCTCACAAGAGCATACTTTCCGCGGCCTTTTAGGGAAGGCAGAAGGCAGCTGCAAGGGAGCCCCTGAGAGTGGCTTACCATGTATTCTCCCTACATGGGCCAAGCGACCAAGATGACCTGGCCCTCCATTACATGCATCTTGCACATGCAACATTTTCTTACTGAATAAATTGATTTTTTGGAATACACATATTTTTGAGAGTCATGAGATAAATTCAATGAAATAAAGTCTTTACAAAGAGAATATATCTCACCACAATTGCCTGTCACACTTTATGTGGAAATGAGTACGTATTACTGCCCATCGTCTTTTTTTTTTTTTAAATGTGTGTAATACACTCTGTTGTGGTAATAATAGTAATAATAAAAACTGGAATGAAAATGAAAATGATAGCTTATTTTATCAGTGTGTGTCTGGGTCAGAGAGTGCTTTACCCTCATCACCTCCTTTGATCCTCACCACCATATTAAGAGACTGGTCCTGATCATCTCCATTTCATAGATGAAGAATCCAGGCTACAGAAAACTCAAGTAAATTGATGCAGGTCCTAGACCCAGGATTTGAATCCTAGAACTAGAACTTAAATCAAGGCTGATTCCAGAGCTTGGGCTCTTAATTACATTGATACGATAATTCATTTGTCAAAAAAAAAAAAAAAATTCAGTGTTGAAATGTAATAGTAAACTCTGAGATCAGAAACGCCCTGAGTCAAGAAGATGTATTTAAATAACTGCCTCACAGGAACAATCTCTCCTTTTGAGAAGAAAAATCCAACAATAACGTTTATACTGGTTTCATATTTCAAGAGTTAGAATAGGAAGATACCAAAACAGATTTTTTTTTAAAAAGCTGAGTCATTAGGGTCTTCCAGAAGGGAAGAAACCTGTCTTTAGGACGGTAAATCTAGCTTCTGTGGGAGGGAGGGGGCGTGTCCCTTAGAGATAGGGGTGTGTTAGGGGGTCTTGTTGCTTTATTTATTCACAACCCGTATACTTCACTAGATTTATTTCTGCTGGTTAACTTAGCACCAGGGCACCCGGCTAGGAAGGCAGGAGCAGCCTCTCTAGGTTAGTCATTTTGGGACATCCCCTCCCTGTTGCTCAGCATGAAGTGGTCCTAATACAATACCTGCACCTTCCGGCCGGCAGATTTTCCAAGAGGATACCTGGCCATGCTTCATCCTCATTCACCCTCCTCCTCTCCCCAGTAAGAATAAAGTGCAAAAAAGCTTGCCAGGGCCTTTAGAAAGCACAGCGCCTCCGAGGCTGGCACGCTTTTCTTTTGCCCTCCTACGGGGAGCGATCGCAGCATCTCTCCCCGTGTGTTAGTGCAATACCGAGCCCGAGCCGGGCTGGGGGAAGGGAGGCGGAGCTCCAGGCGGCGGGGAAGAGCGTGGGTGTCACCCCGCAACCACCGCCCCGCAGCCAGCTCGCTCCAGGACCCCCTGGGGCGCTCGCTCTCCCGGCGCGCGGGGCGCCACGCAGCCGCGCGCACCGCCCCCGCAGGCCCGCGCCACGCTCCGCCCTGGACGCCGCTCGGCCCGGCGCCGGGGTGCGCGCGGGTGGGAGCGGGCCCGGCTCAGCCTGATTTACGGCGCTGCTGAAAACCGCTTCGCTCCCACAGCAGCAGCCCCGGCCGCAGCGGCAGCAGCAGCGGCGGCTGCAGGTGCAGCAACAAGTCGGGTGAGTGGCGGCCGCGGAGCCTCGGCGCCTGCAGCCCGGCCCAGGGGGCGCGGCGCAGCGGGGCCGGCCGGGGCTGGAACGGGGGTCCCGTGTCCGCACCGCCGCGGGGAGTTGGGCTTCTCGGCTCCGCACCCGCACGAACTCGCGTGCGCACAGAGCCACTTCGGCACCGCGGGCTGGCGTGCTGCACGGCGGGGGCGGGGAGAGCGGGGACCCCGGGCCAGGGTTCTTCCTTGCCTGCCCTGCGCGGGCAGGGGAGATGAGGGCTCTTCTGCTAACCCTGTGTCCTGGGGTTTCCGCTGGGCCCGTGACAGCTTGCCTACTCCCGGAGTGTGGGACTGCCCATTTCCCACTCCAGAATGCCACCCCTTTCCCACTGCCCCTTAGAATCCTGACTTCTCCTTCCTTCACCTCTCGCCTGCATTTTCGGCCAGGGTTTGCATATCTTTCCAGAAAGCCGGTGGTTAAACAGTCCAGTGTGGCACAGGAAGAGGCTCCCCCTTTCTGGGGGCCAGGGGCTTACTAACCTGGAAGCTTTGCCTAGCTGTCTGGGGACCATTTGCACCTCTGCTTTTGAAGAAGTTGGGGGCCCGGGAACAGTACTTTTCAGCCTAGACCCTTAGCTGAGCTCCTTCTTTTGGGAGCCCCATGCTTCTTACGTTTAAGGAGAAATCATTTCTGGAGGAAATAGGCAATTGCGCGCTGCTTGCAGAATTGGGTTGCTAGCAGTCATCTGTTGCTAGGGCTAAGATAATAAATTCCTACAAGGAAAGAAGAACTTCCTGTTATTAAAAGAGTTATGCTGATGCCTACCTGGTTCAAACATTGGCCACCTCTAGAGGTTGTCTTTAATGTCCAGAGGTTGATCCTTAAAATAGGATCAGAGACAAGATAAATCCATCCGGAACACCCTATCTTAATAAAGCCTTAGCCATGGCCGCACTTAGATCAAATAATATTTGACACACTGGGTTCCTAAATTTTAGTAAATCGATTGTGGAGGCCATTGTTCTTCTAACACTTTGATTTATGTCATCACATCAATAATTAAAGGACAAAATTAAGGGCAAAAATCTCAGGCTAAGAAATTTTCAGCTGATTGTGTGCTTAATGTCACACACCTAGTTTGAATAGCATCTTTCCTATCCTTTAGAAAGATCACTGAGCTTGCTCTCTTAGGACCTGTTTTGACAATTCATGCTGAGTTTTCCTTTTTTTTTTTTTTTTTGGTATTTATGCTTGTTGGGTTGTTTGTAAAATAAGGCACAGGTTTTGCAGTTAGTATACAAAATTCAGAAGGGCAGGAAACTTGAATCCACGTCTGGATCTGGCATTTTTCCATCTAACCTTGAACTAATTACTTTACCTCCTTGATCCAGTTTTCTCAGGTGTACAAAGGGAACGTTACCCACCCTTTTTATCATGGCCAGCGGTTAGCAAACTTTTTCTGTAAAGTCCAAGTAGTAAGTATTTTTGGCTTTGCAGGTCATAGTCAGTTCATTGCAAAAGCAGCAGTGGACAATATGGAAATTAGTGGGTGTGGCTTGATTTGGCCCAAGGATTGTAGGTTTTAATTTAATTTAATTTTTTTAATCCTCACCCAAGGACATTTTTTTCATTGCTTTTAGAGAGAGAGGAAGGGAGAGAGAAAGAGAGAGAGAAAGAAACATCAGTGTGAGAGAGAAGTATCGATCAGCTGCCTTTGAACCCGCAACCTGGGTATGTGACCTGACCAGGAATCAAACCGGAGACCTTTCAGTTTACAGGTCCACGCTCCAACTACCTGAGCCACACCGGCCAGGGCAGGTTTTAATTTTATATTATATGCAAAAGTCATTTGAAACCAAAACACCTCTGCCCTTATGGAGATGAACAACAATAGTCATTTCAGTAGGATTTTTTAAACAGACATGTAAACTACCTGTTTTATGTCCCCCTGCTCAGGATTTTCAGAGTAATGCAACAGAAGGCTTTTGAAGAAAGCAGATACCCCTGGCAGGAGTCCTTTGAGAATGTTGCTGTGTGCCTGCCATTCCGCTGCCCGAGGTGTGGAGACCATACCAGATTTAGAAGCCTGTCATCGCTGAGGGCCCATCTGGAATTCAGTCACAGCTACCAGGAAAGAACCTTGTTGACAAAATGCAACCTCTTTCCATCCCTCAAAGACACAGACCTAGTCACTTCCTCAGAACCCCTGAAACAGGGAAAATTGCAGAACTGTGGCAACGTGGTGAAGCAGAAGCCCAGCTATGTTAACTTGTATAGCATTTCGCATGAACATTCCAAGGACAGGAAGCCATTCGAGGTGGTGGCAGAGAGACCTGTGTCCTACGTGCAGACGTATACTGCAGTGGACCTGCGGGCTGACTCGCTGGATGGCCCGCGGTCCAGTCCTGGACTTCCCACCTCAGACACCAAAGCTGCTTTCGAGGCCCATATCAGAGAAAAATTCAATCGGATGGTCGAGGCAGTGGACAGGACCATCGAGAAGAGAATCGATAAACTCACCAAAGAGCTGGCCCAGAAAACTGCAGAGCTGTTGGAAGTCCGGGCCGCTTTTGTCCAGCTGACTCAGAAAAAGCAGGAAGTTCAGAGACGAGAGCGGGCCCTGAATAGACAGGTGGACGTGGCCGTCGAGATGATCGCTGGGCTGAGGCAACGCCTGACGGAATCGGAGGAGGAGCTTCTCAGGAAGGAAGAGTAAGTGGCACTGAAACAGGATGCTAACCCCTTTGGTTTAGGCCACTTCCCACCCTGCCCTCCCCAAGTTACAAGCAAATGTTAAGCAACGTTTGGTTTTTATTACTTTCAGGTAGCTTGGCTGCATTTCTCATTGATGTAATTGGTTGTGGGAGGTACAAAGCTTTAAATGTTATTTGCCCTCTCTCTGTATGGTCTGCAACCCAGCAGCCTGAAAGTCAAAATATCTAATTCCTTTCCACCTTGGGAACTGTAAAGTACAGGTAATGTTTTTAAAGAAAGGAGTAGTGTCTTGTTTCTGTGGTGGGTGCCATCCCAGCATCCACTGGTGAGTGGGGGAGTTGAATGGGAGGGCAGAAAATACGTGCTGGAGAGCCTTCCTTCTTGGCAGTCTCCATGTAGGAAAGTCAAGAACTTGGGTTGCTGTCATTCAAGTACAAAAGTATGCTTTCTATACAAATAAATTTGGCTCCTTTGCCATTTTGTATTATCTGCCCACTGTAATTAAATGTCAATTGCTGAGAATCCTTTCCATTACAGTTTTTATTTGGAGGTAATAGGCATTAAAAAACCCAGAGGAAACTTTCTGATATTGCTGTGCTTCCGTGATTTAAGTTTGGAAATTTTCTTTTTGTAAAACGTTATGTCATACTAGAGGAAGCCATGCCTGCTTGCAAAGAGTTGACACTGGTTTTCACAAGTTATAGTTGATCAGATAAGTTAATACTTTAAAACTTGGAAAAACATTTCCCTGTCAGTAATTATGGGTTCAGTCCAAATTAAAAAAGTATGCATAACAATGCATTTCTGTATTCCCCAAATGCAGAATGTTAGATTTAATTTTAAATGGAGGTTCAGAATACATAGGATGAAAGGACATAAAAATTAATAAACTAAAACATCTTAGAAGGAAGGTTTCCAAACAATTTGAGTTCCATTATAGAGATTGAATTAACTTCATACTTCCCTGCCCTCTGGCACTCTTCTTTATGTGTTGTCTCTTAATATGTAGTTCTTAAAATTCCTCCACTTGATAAGAGGCTGAGGAGCCCTATATATTAAAGAGTTCATTACTCACTATCAATAAACGCTTACATTCTACCTAGAGGGAAAGCCTGCCCTACTCAACTAGACATTTTTCAAATTTCGTAGTGAGGGCGGAATAGATTCAGCCACTGATTTGCTTTGATCTTAGGGAAGTGATATCTAATGAATCTTGGCTTTATTCTTGGCTTTTGGTGTTTCCTGGTTGGAAGTTAATGCCTTGACCCATCGTGGCTCCAGGGTGACTAACGTTGCACCACTGGAAAAATGGCAAATGGGGTTCCCCTGTGTGCAGAGAAAAGCTTAGAATTAAATTTTGTGGTATTTCTGTTTGATTCAAGAGCAGTGAATTTAAAAGGTAACCAAATTAATTGTATTTATTTATTTGTTGTATTTTGTTTATTAAATCTGTAAGTAATAATGGATATGGGATTTGAGGTGGTGGTTGCCTAGAATACAAGAAGACAGTTTGATGGCGGGGAGGATCATATGCTTAGGTCTAGGTTATAGTCAAGGATCTAACTTTATTTTGGGTGGTGGGTTCAAGGACATTTTAATATTAAAAAAGAACAGCTTAACTAACTTGAGTAAAAGTGGGCCATGCATGGATCAATAATGGTAATGTGTTTTGGTTAATCCAGTGCTGTCACCCGAGAACCAATTGAAAACTGAAAAACTAATACATCCTTGTAAAAAAAATCAACAGGATAAAATTGTATGTGTTGAAAGTCCTCCGTCCTCCCTCTCCTCCAAGCATACCCCACCCCATCCTCTGGAGATAGCCACTGTTTTGTTCAGTGACTGTCCTTCTAGACCTTCCTTGTGTGCATATAATCATATGTATTTTATACACACAGAATTACTGTGTTTTTCCATATGGAATCATGATGTGCTATTTTTCCACTTGTTTGTGGAGTTTGTTTTTGTTTCAACATAGTATGCTGTAGGCCTCTTTCATGCACTAAACATAGAGTTATGTCATTATGTCATTCCTTTTGGCTATTGGGTGGTATTCCATGGTCGGGATGCATCCTGATCAGCTTGCTATTGATGAATACATGGTTTTGTTTCATTTTCCTAGTATTAAAAATAGGGCCTCTGTTAAGGCCCTTATACATATATCTTTGTTCACGTTTTTATGAGTGTATCTGGGCATAAATTATGAGTTGATTTTTAGTATGACATTTTTTGGACTACCAGAAAAAAAAGCAATGTCATTAAAAAAAACATTTTAAATGAAAATACAGTGAAACTGCCTTGAACTTTTAAACATAAAATAAACAAAGTCTTCATTTTTAAGCCTTCATTTAGCCTGTATTCAAGCCTCAAATAATCATTCTTTTTGTATATAAAATAGGACTGAAAGAGTCTTGTTTCTAGGAAGGACAGTAGAGCTCTTGGTTTGAGAGAGCGTCTGTGGCCGTAGCCCTCAGTGTCTACAGCGTCCACCCCCCCTGCCACCTCTACCTCAACCCCCTGAAATTGGGATGCAGAGCGAGCCAGCAGCCCACCTGCCACACCATTGAAACCAGGTTGATTTGACGAGATCTGCCTGGCTGGGCCATGCTCCTTCCCTCCTTACCACTTCCTCACAGAGCAGAACCTTCCACCAAAGAGATGACCTTTCAGGTATAAGAAGCTGCTCTCAGACCAAGAAACCTACCAAGAGCTGTGCTCCCCTGTGGAATCTCTCCAAATGAGCTCTCACGGTCCTGTTTGTGAGAAAAAGTAGGTTGTTATAATACCATTTGAAATTGACTGAAACTTCAGGGAGGCAAATATCTAATATTTAATATTCACATGAGTTTCTCTTGCCTATGGGTTTTCCCCTTAACTTTAAAATTCTTTCTTTCAAACTGACATGAGGGACTCTGAGGGCCGATTCTGCCCTGAAGCCATCTGTAGACTGAATCACCTCAGTTTGTAGAAGTCTACAAGTGTATATGCTTCGTAAGAGAGGAGATTGTTTGTGTTGGCAATATTGTGTACCTCTGTAGAGAAGTAGCTATGTTTCTGGAGAGCAAACCCAAAGAAGAGATTTCTCTTTGTCTTCACTAAGTCTATGCAATTTTAAATGTCCTATGAAAACGGTTATTTACTTATTCAAAAGTATTCAGGGCTGCAGGGTAGCACTGCCCGTAATCAGGTAAATCAATCCTGGCCAACCTCAAAGCAAGGTATCCCTTAACAAGAAAGGATGGCTCTGAGTAGTAGCTGATTCCTGGCTCAGTTGGTCACCTGGGGTTTGGAGAACATCAGGGTAATAACAGTAATCCTAAATTAACTTGCACACCCTTCTGCTGGTAAGGCTGGAAAGTGCTGCCTGAGCACCTGTGGTGTGCCCAGCAGTGTGCTTGGTGTGTGTGGGGAACACGAGATTCTTGGTATTTTTCCCTAATGAGCTTACACTCTGCATAGGAAAAATCAGCAAACCCACAGACACGCCCATGTTCAAACCAAGGGCAATGAACAAGTGCCTAAACACAAGCCATGGTTTCAAGTCGGTAAGAAGTTAGAGAACATTTTTCTGTTTAAGAGGCCACACTGAGAAAGTGAGGACAAATGGGGCAAAAATTTGCATTTGGTAAGTCAGAGGATAATGATATTGAAGGACAGCAGGTGACGCTTGAGGAGTCTGTAATTTCACTACTGGAAGGTACCTCCTCTCTCCTTTAGGATAATACCATCATTTTACAGATGTGGAAAGTAGGGCCCAGAGCAGTGGAATGACTCACCTAAGGACAAGAATTTAGCATCAAAGCTGAAACTGGAACCCAATTTCCCAGTCTGTCTGCTGAGTAATTTTTCTGTTAATTCACTGAGTCTCAGCCAGAGTTTTGAAAATGCGGTATTTTCCGTGTCAAGATCGAAGTACTAAATCTGGCCCATTTTGGAATGGACTTGCTTCTTTGCTATTTTCGGAGGGCTGCCAGGATGACATCATTTATTTTTCTGATGTGATTAAAGAAAATGTCAGCTGGCCTCATAGGTGTTGGGAAATGGGAAATGGTGGTGTCATTAAGTATGGTTATGATATTAAGCTTCTGGAACACGAGCCCAGGGCTTTAAACTTCCAACAAGGGCTTTTAACTTGACGTTCTGCATGTCCATGCCCAGTCAGGGTGGAACATATGCCCCCTGGCCCTTGATTTCAGTGAGGGGCCTCTTTGTCATTCCATCTCTAATTTCCAGCCTGCTTCCTTGTGAGCTCTGATAGAATCTTTTCCCTTTTTCCTTCATCATGTGCCCTGTTCCCAGTCTAGAGTCCGCAGAAAACTAATCTTTACTGTGTGTGCTGAGTGCCAGGTACTGTTCTAGGACCTGGCCAAACAAGTGGTAAAACAGTGAGTCCAGGTCCTGCTTTAATGGCAGGACTAAACCTGGTAAAATAGACATTGAACAGATCATCAGGGGTAGGGTAAAGAGATGTATCATGGTGGCCTGCTCCAGGTAACGCCCGTTGGGTTTCTATCCACAGCTAGCCGTGAAGCACTGGCCTTTAAAAGGCAAGTTTGAGTTGGTAACTTGCTTTGTACAGCTAAACTCTCTCGCCACTTCATTACCTCGTTTCCATTTTTGATGAGCTAAAGGAATGAGTAAGCATCTTGGTCTCTAAACTGCTCCAGAGCTAAGAAAAGGCTAAGAAAAACCATGTTAGATGTAGAGTTCAGTGGGACAGGAAGGGGTTGGTTTGCTCCACATTTTTTTCTTTTTGTTTTTACATTTTATTTATTTATTTATTTTAATTTATAAATCATGTTTATTCTATTACAGTTGTCTCAATTTTTACCCCTTTACCCCCCTCCACCCATCCCACCCCACCCCCCACTCCCACAGTCAATTCCCACTCCTTTGTCCATGCCCATGGGTCATTCATACATGTTCTTTGTCTAGTCCCTTCCCCTTCTTTCCACATTGTCCTCTTTCTCCATCCCCTCTGGTAACTTTCAGTCTAG